TGCATTCGACCCCCGAATCTCTAACTGTAGAAAATGTAACCATACGTCCTTTTACATACGGAACCCCGGATAAACTTTTTTCTCTGCAAACACTAATATGTCAACGTTTTCTGCACAGTTTCTTCTCAAAATGGAGCAGAAAGGCCCCGGAAGAATGCAGAGGAGACAGCGTAGGTCTCTGGAGGCCATGATGCATCCGAACTAAACAAACAAAGTTTGTCGAAATGAGAAGGAAACCAATCGAATCTGAAGGCGTGGGAATTGAAGCGTACGCTATCTGCGAGGGAAAGGAATGTGACCGCTTAACGTCCCATAGGTAATAATTCGCCTGTTGGGGGCTAAAGTAACGCCATAGCCAGCAAAGAACGGTTTAACAGTGAGAAGGCGAACTTTCACACCCCAGACGCAGCATTCCCTCTCTCCATGTCTGAGGTTATTTCACATGGCTGACCGCGTGGAAATGACGCCGGTTGTGTCGTAGATTTAACATGCGTACTCAGTCACTGATGTACGTGCGTACTCTACTAATTGGAATAACGATAGGAAGCAAAAGGAGCGTGAGTGTCTGTGACATTGGGGACAATGTGGAAAAGTGGCCACAAATGCGTACCAGCAACCTGATAGGTGATTAGCGGAAAATAAACGAAGGACTAAGATGATCATTGGCTCTCACTGACCGACTTTAATGTCGGCCAGAAGGAAACCAACTGGTAACTGTGATACCATCCCTGGAAAGTATACACGACCAAGACATAAGTTCCAGAGCTAACTACAACACGTTGGGTGCAATCCGTTCGATTAGGAAAGACGTTTATGGAAGGAGCTAACGTGACGAACGGTTATGAGCCCCAAGAGCACCGTACGGTTTCCCAGGGCTTTCTAGCAGCTGGGCTCAACTTTGCGGCTGGAAGTCAATAGGTTGGATGGTGGGAGATAAAGATGGCGTTGTTGTATGATGGCTGGTGGCATAAACAGAAGACAATGGACGTTTTCAAGTTAGCGTGTCACTGACCAGTGGGAAACCGACTGTGGCTAATGAACTCCAGGGAAACGTTGCATAAGACGTAGTCGGAGGCGGCAGGGATCAATGGGGACTGAGTGGACGTCAATCATTGGAATAGATAGGAAGGGAGTGCATGCGTAGTCTGCGGCACAGACAAAGTAAAACCAACATTAACCAGTCGACTGCGTCAGTGGCCAAATGGAGAGCGACTGATGGCTGCGAGTTCAGCCATGGCAGAAACCTAAGACGAAACTGAAAGTATCAGAAATAACTCCGTCACAGAGTTGCCAATCACTTGACTATGTCAAAACTTACGGTCTAGTTGGGGGTTGCCCCAAATCGAAAGTGGGGAGACACCGATAATTGCAATGAAAATCAAGAAATATATTTCAAGAAAAGAGTAGGCTTTTTGGAAAATCGGATTATACTTATGAATTATCGGGTTAGCGACACCACCCTCTGGTTAGACGGAATAAACAGAGGAGCGAGGAAAATTGTCTGGCTTGAGCGGATGACGCGACAGAACAGACAGCGGCAAACATCGAACTCGTGTGTGATAAGGACGAACTCATAATTACGCTGAGTTTTGGGATTGCGAAAGCAGAATTATTACGGTACCCTTTGTCGGAGTAGAGGTGAAGTGGCGACTCAGTGGGCATGCAGACGGTTGGATTAGTGGTCGTCGATGCGGGGTGGCGGCAGGAATTGTCATCTGTGGTTCGCCACGTCTGGGAGAGGGACTGATGAGACAGTGAGGTACTACATTTCCTAGCATAGATTAACGACTGTTGGTAAGGCATGGATGCAAATAAGTGAGACGCACAAGCATGCCCTAGTTATTAGCGTTCAGACCCACAGGGAGGTTGATAATGCTAGTGCAAGAGTGTCAAGTTTCGTAAACTCACGCGCCTGTTTAGTATAAGCCTTCGTGATTACTTAAATACATCCCAGGTGAAGGAGTGGCCGTACTCAAGGGCTGGCGCAAACGTGGGAGGCAAAGGTTCACGTCGGCGAATAGCTGGCTCATTTTCGTTGACGCCAGTACCAAGACGTCGACCTGTATGGGCAACGTAAACAGGAGTTTGCGTACAGGATGCGGTAACCGACATTGCCTTGTTTTTCTTTGGGTAAAGAAAGTCATACTCAGCACAATGCTGTGCGCAGTGAGGATGCCAGACTGTTGATGATGCAGATGTCGAAGCAATTTAATTTTCAAGCGATTTTTTTCGGAAATTCCTTGCAAGTAAAGCGGGAAATAGAATTTCCGCTGCATTGTATCTACATTAGGACAAAGATTTCATAGGGTTCTCTGGCGTCAGATATAATTTTCAAGAAAGCTGTTCACGTATCTATTGAATCGGAATGACCGATATAAGTCTGTTATTTCTTTCTTAAGTAGGTCATCGTTGCTTCAATAACGAAAAATCCGATGGAAACGAATCTGGGAATTGTATTTTTAGTGGGCCGCGGTTTGGTTGCATTCCGAAACGGTGGCTGCGTCAAAAACGCAAGCGAAATGTCTTATTTTAGCGAACAACGCACCTGGCAATAGGGTTATGTATTTTGAGGGAGTTAAGTTCGATGAACGTACGTTTTTGGTTTTTCATCCTCACACGTGAACAGCACTATAAATCAAGGCTATACGGTGGAAGTTTAAGAGACCCTGCCAGCAAATGACTTTCCTGTTAAGCTTATAATAAAATGAACAGAATAATGTAAACCGCTACCAGACGAACAGACGATTCTGAAGAAGGAGCTATTTCCCACGCTGCCATGTCGAGGGGATCAGGCAAGCAAACTTTCGGAAGGTCATTGATTTCTGCCCTCGCTCACGTCCTTAGCCGCCTAGTAAATAAATAAATAAATTTTAATTTGATGCCAGTTTACAGACATTGTCAAGGGAAGCCATTAAACACAAATCCGACCAGCAGTGAAAAAAACTCCTGAGCTTAAGGCATAAAAATATATTTGATAGTTTTTGTGGTTTGGAGGACTCAGGAGAAAAAAACTGTCGGCGGTGGTAGAATATCGGCCGTCAAGAAGGGGGGAGGTTGCACGGTATCGGAGATTATCGGACGTCAAATTCCTTTCATGAAGTTGGGGATAGTCAAAGTAGAGGCGTCGAGGAACAGCTGGTGAGACCGGCCATAGTGTTCAGAGACCACAAACGCCATCGCTACGGTACAGTCGATCAGTAGATTCAGCACCCAAAATTTGTGGGAGCTTTTCTGAATGCAAAAATCGAGTAAAGACTCGTTTTCTGAAGCACTCCGCTGACTCTCCTTGAAAGTAAGGATAAAATGCCCTTTGAACTTTGTTCGATGCGCATATACACTCCCTCCTGCTTCCATTGGCAGGATATATTCGTAGAACGACTAGGCGTCCGTCGAAGCCGATGCGAGGGCAACATTTTGCCTGGCTTAATCAAGGTATAGAAGAGTCTGTCCCTAGCGCATCCGTGACATATTTGGTGGACGTTAACCAAACAGCCCGGGTCCGGCGAGGCACTCAAGGTTTCTACGCTAGCGGCTACTTGCGACCGCAGAGGTAATGACCATACGGCTAGCCAACCAAACCTTACGCTCGCAGGAAATGTTAGTGGAAAACGTTAAACTCCCATGGGACAGGATGAGTCCAGCATGTTAGCTCCGCATCCTAACTCCTAACGCTATAGCAACGGAACGTAAGCATACTTCAGTGTCAGACTGCTCCTCATCTCTCCTCTCCCAAGCCTCTGACAGAAACGACATGACTGAGTGTCCTTATCCCTCTCAGGGTAAGTACTGTTTATTTGGCTTTCAAATTTCGCTGACTCACTCTAACGTTTTCAACTGCACAGGGCTGAATATGAATAATTGTAAACCAGTGTTAATCGCACTTGACTTTCACAAGGTCTGAACGGTTATCGTCGCAAAAGAGCTATATGCGCTAGCTGTGGAATTCTTCTCCCATTACAATTCTCAGGTATTACATCCCGGGATGTTTGCCGTCAAATGCGTCAGATAAACACCAGCCACTATAAATTAATGGGGTTACTAAGGCCTCCACTCACAGCCCTAGTATGTGTGAATTTCCAATAGCCCTATTATTTCTTCTTAGCAGTCGACTCTATAAGCTCGAATTCAATTGCGTACTGATTAAATCACGACAGCAATCGCTTCGTTCGATCATTCTTGTCCTTTTATTCCCGACTGAGTTTTCCTTCTCACACACATTTATCCCTTCTTATATTAACGTTGTCATCACTGCCGCTACTACTAATGTTCCACTTTCAAGTATTATCCACTTTGGATATCGTATGATGTTGGTATTCCGAAGTATTCTTGCTCCTTTGACGGTGCATGGCGGGCGTCCTCGCAGGTCGCTCTAGGTGAAATGCTCTTGTAGTGGCAGACAGGGGCGAAGTTGGCGGGAAGTTAAAAAAGAAGACGAAAACGGCGAGTTGTGGTGCTGTGCTTCGGACGAGCCTTTTTCTTCTTCGCTTCACAGGCCAGAAGGATGGCTCAAACAGAGTTGAGTAGACGACTCAGGTGAATATTGCACCTACCCCAGAACCACAGCAGTGAAGTGCTCCATAATTCCTTTTGACCACCGTTACCCCCATCTTTATTGAGACTATACGCTCCCCGTCCTCATTTGCCCTATTGCACTATATAAATCTCTTGTGTACAGACCGTCCTCCTTCTTCTGATTTTCACATTAGCATGAGTTTCTGATTGAAGAATGAGTGACTCTGACGATCCATGCAATTCAGAGTTTACGTACGATTCTGAGCCGAAGTCGACCCTCAAAGGAGCAAAAGCCGCAAGGGTCATTGCAGTAAGGGAGACAGGACAAGTGAGTGGCCCGTCTACTACACTGTCAACACTTATTTTCACATATGTTACCAATCAGCGAGCAACACTAATAACCAATAGTAAATGCCAGAATTTAGCGCACTTTTTGTAAAAGGCCGCCGGTTGCCTGTGCAAGTCAATCCCACTCATGGGTTCTAAAAATGACTGACAAATTTTATGCAGTTTTCCCACCACAATCTGGCATAAAAAGTGAACGGAACGCTGCTTTCAATATAACTCGGCTAGCCTCCTTCGACAACTTATTGTTTATTGGTTGCAGAGAGGGGTAATTTTGTTTTGCGTCCTCTTTGTATTTCACAAATACCATCATATTTATTCGTTCGAGCGAGTCCTATATACGCATCTAGGCTCAGAGCAACAGCATACTCTGTAGATTCCTCTGCCATGAAAAATCCTGAAGTGGGAAAATATGTCGGGCGCTTATACCCGGCGTGCATGTGCACGGTTTGTAAGGATCCTTACAAACCTTACAAATTTTAGGTGTAAAGTAAATTTACTGCATGCACGTGCACAGCTCGCAAAGACCAACTTGGTCGTTGGGGGCTGTGCACGTGCATGCAGTAAATTTACTTTACGCCTAAAATTCAGACCTATTATATGTACATGCATATATTGCCCGTATACAGTTCGTCTGATGAAAGATTTTCGACACAACGCTGGCCCGCACTGCATTTAAGAAACGTCGCCTTAAAAGCCGATGGCTAGTCTATGTTTACGTTTCATCTAAAGGTGTGCCCTACAACGTATACGTAGGTGCGAAATATTTCCTATGGTTTTTTAGAATGCCATATTGCACCGAACCGGGAGTCCCGAATCCCCATGCCCGAACTCGTATATTGTACTGAACCATTCTGCGAGCTTCCGTGCTGGTATTAGTCACACGCCAATTGACCTTGAATCCTAGAGTGCTCATCAGAAATTCAGACATTAGTGATCGGGCCACTCTAGCACAGTTTCTTGATAGACTTTGGACCATCGGGGCAACGTGCGTGATTTACGGGGCAAGGATGAGGAAATCGGGGACTTGCGAAAGGTCTTGCCTCCATTTGCCTTATTTCAGTACAAGTCACCAGTTAATTGACCGTCTGCATCTCGGTTATTAGCGTAACTATCTAATTTGACAATACTGTTAGTGGTACTGTACACGTACCTCATCTTCACTAGTCGGTGTACCCTGGAACGAGTAATCGATCCACCTAGAGCGGCGTCTGCAGTAGCGTCACCCGCATATATAACCGTCTGAGAGCGTCAGTACACTAGACGGAATGCGATAAGCGTCTACTATCCAAAAGGACATGACCGTACAAGGCAGATGAGCTTTAGTGATGCGGGAAACTAAAGCTTCTGCTTAAGTGGTAGACCTCGTTCCTGATAAACTTGATCTACGAGACCATGACGACCTCAAGCGTCCATTGTTCAATTATAATAGCGCAAACAACTGACTCAGACTTTATGAATCATAAACGACAACCCGTCCCCGCTGGATGGCAACGAGCAATGGGCAGCGCTACGAGCTGAGAAGCAGGAGATGAGAACGCACACCGAAGCCTAACTGCAATCAAAGTGGCAGCTAACACAGAATATTAAGGTAGAGAGCGAGCAGATTATGGTTCAACCTCTGTTAAGCTACGTTGCCCCCAATGAGAATTATGCAACCGTGCTAGTAGTGTGCACGCTGCTGCTGCGGCACATCAGCACCATTTCATTTCAAACGAATTTTAAGGTTTGGGTTGTGACTTACGTCATAATCTTCGCCTCCTTCCTGGCATTTATTTAAACTTGTTGTTCTTTTAATCCAAGGCTTTTGTTACAAAGTGTTTTCGAAGAAACTGAAGAAAATGTAACCTGCTACTCCTTTTCTCTGATAATTTCTCGGAAAGTGACGGTAATCCATTCTGTTCAGGATCATGTTAGTAGGAATACCCGATCGCCGATCTCTCTGCTTCTAGTGCTACCGCCATTGTAGTTATTCTTGCAGGCGACCAACTTCAGATCTTTGATGCTGAAACGCTTGAGGTAGGCGATCACTGTTTCGTTCATACTTTTTAGAGGTTTACCGTTTTCCCCTCCCTCAGTTCGGTCGTTTCTTTTTCTCTGCAAGGCTGCTTCACGGAAAAAGATGCTTTCAGCAAAGTATGATCCACACTATCCTTTCTATTATATAGCTGGCCGTATGCCTTCAAGCCGGCACTCTGAATATTTATCGTATAACCAGATCAAGATGTGACGTTAGCTGGCCGTATGCCTTCAAGCCGGCACTCTGAATATTTATCGTATAACCAGATCAAGATGTGACGTTACCTTTAGTGTGCAGCTCCCTTCACTTGCTCCGGCCATGGTAAGACGTCAGTGCCTATACTAGTTAACTCTCAGCTTTGTGCAACTGATTTTCTGGTCTTTGCAACTCCAACCCATTACTTTTGCTTGGATTTCAAAACAAAACGCATCAACGAACTGTTTGCACGCACAGAAAAGCACGTAAAACCACTTATTACCCAAGTGTCAGAGGTGAGTATATTTAAATCTCTCTCTTACATGAAGACTGAATTTCTCCTCTCAGGACCTGGGGCGCTTGGAATATTCGTGGATAGCACAGGAGCGTCGCAACGTCCGCCAATTCCTTTGTCGTCAAATCTTTCTTCTTTATTTTGCTACGACTCCCTGATTTTTGCCATTGACGACGAATTTGTATCTATCCACAGGTATGAGGCTGTATCTGCGCATTTTCCAACTTCGGTTTTTCTTGGTTATTTGCCACTTACCAGTGCTTGATAACGATGAGTGTTCTTCCACTTTGCAACAAACTTTAGTTTCTTTTCAACGGTATCTGTTAGTGTCAATCTCTTAACAGAATATGGGTCATTAGTGTTTTTTCACCCTAGAGCTTTTTTTCATGATTTTAATTTGCAGGTAGAGGTGGTTGCTGTCGGCCGTAATAATGGTTGAGTGTGAATAGTGTGTACGCAATTCTAAACGCCATCTCTGCACGCTTCACAGGCGTGCCGGAGCTTGTTTCTAGCTAGTATATGTCTTTTTTGCAGCTGCCATCACTGTAATTAATTCACCAATACTGTCAGTGCAGATGCCAGTCATGTCTGAGTCCTTTTGTTAGGCCAGTTTTCTGAAAGGAATATCCCCTTTTTAGCCGAACTGGTTGCAAATGCGAAGATTCTAATCATTTTCCTCCATGACATACTTCACTTCCCCTCTATTTAGTAGCGAGCCATTTCGTTTTCCTGAAGTGCTGATTAAACATCCTGGTACTGCGGCTCTGCTCATATTTGGAGGTCCATCCTTTGTCTGGTCTCATTAAAGCTGAAACTGGCGTAGAAAAAAGTTTTCAATGAGCTTAACTGACGGGATGTTGACAATATGCCAAGTCCCAATCGGAACAAGGCTCATAAGTCTGAGTTATGACCAACAGCTGACGACGCTGTTTGTCGGTTTCGCTAGAGGTTCCACTTTTTTAATACCTTCGCGCATACCCTGATCAGAATCCTTGCCAGAGAAGAGGCAACCTCCTTACTGCACCCTTTACGTTTTTGTCTCTCAGCAGTTTTCTAGAAAAGTTAAAACACTTCCATACCTGTAGACACTCATTTCTTGCCCTTTGTTGTTCACCGATCTAACACATTACCGTGCGTCACTTTTTGCAGGTCTACTACAGCTATTAGAGTACCCACTAGTTTTCCAACATATCGACTTTCTTTTGCCCAATTTTTTACATCCCTAAACGATATCTACGCACCCATCCTACATAGTCGCTAGTGGATGTTTCTTGACGAATATCAACTGACCATATTGATAAAGGACATGTGCAGACCGTCATTCTCAAATCCTGAGCACAATTAGAGATATTTGGGGGCAACTATGCTTCTGCTGGCTCTGTCAGCACTGGCTCTGCACGCCAGTTATCATGAAGACCTGAGGACTCGAAGAGCCCGAAGGCTGAATGGAAAATATAAACTGACAAGTCCTAATCAAGGCGTTCAGCTAATAGTCATGTACATGTCCGATGCCGAGAGGGCAGGTGGAAGGTAGGGGCTGTTAAGTACACCAAAGCACTTGCAGAATTTTTCTAACATGACCTGGCAGATTGGCGCTCAGCAGATTGTGTAAGGAGTTGGATTATGAGTTGAGATAAGAGCTTACAGTGAACCGGGTATGAAGAGTCCGGATCGTACGACCTATTTGCCTCTATGGCTGTACATTGCAGATGTTTTTTTAGGATCGAAATTTGTCATGTGCGATCATCCTCCTCCGGAATTGCTGGAGCGAATTTCCGGCCATGTAAAGTAAATGTTTTCAAATTGCTCGCTGTGCATGTGCCGTTATCTTTGCGTAGAGTCCGATACCGGCGTGCGTAACTAAATCATTTTTCTAAATCATTTTTTTTCCTTTCGCGTTATTCTATGTCCGTAAAGGATTTGTATCGGCCGCACTGGTTTGCAGGCCCTGATCCTCATTCCTACCTACAAAGACTCACTGGCATCCTTACTGTGATCTAGTTTTAAATTTCTTTATGTCTGACGTTTCCTGCTGCAAATAGTTCGTGTGTTTGGTTTCCTGGTTTTACCGATTTGATGGACTTTGGGCAGGGACGAGTTTGCTTCCAGCGGCAGTTGCTTCTACGCTCCGACAGGCCAGTATAATTGGAAAGACATGTTTCTCGAAGCCTAAAGACTCAAAACCCATATATTCTGAGTGGCTTTTGGCATAAAGAAGGCCTGAGGAAGCAGGTCCTCGAGTTAAATATTAGCAGAGCGTGGTCGCTTGTACTAAGGTAGGGTTCACTAGACTGGGTTCTGCGTTCCCGCTGATCGCTGAAATTCAGTTCGAGAGAAGGTTGGTTGCGTCGCACGAGACCAATATCCTGCGTTATTATCCAACTTTCTCAGAGTTTTTTTTGTGAAATCCTGGTTTCTTATTTTCACGGACTGGTTTCGGTAAATGTCGAAAGTGCGTCAGAAGCATGATCTAGATGCAGCTTCTAATGGCCGCCTGTGCCAATTTCTTGCCTCCCGCAGTCCTCTTAAATAACATTTTTAATTTATATGCTTTTATGTAAGTTCGTTTTATTTGATTTAAATGTACTCAAAATCAGCGAGTTATTCACGTAGCATAGTTATCGGGCGTCACTTTCACTATCTGATGTGTGTGGTCTGTCATATTGTCCATTTTAGCACATTCATGGATAGGCTAGTATAACACATTTTCAAGTCAGCTTTCTGTGAGAAGGTCTGCCTATTTGATGTTTCATTTTGTGCACCGACGAATTATAAATTTCAATCACACTTATCGAACCTCTAATTGCCCAAACACTTTTTACTAGTGCTGTCAAGTTTTAAATTCGAGTCAGCTCAACCACTTAGTCTTTTTCTTTCTTCCCGGCACCCGAGTAGATTTCCCCAGATTAGCCGTCGTATACTAAAGGATATTTCAAGCACATTGTTTTATCGGCCAAAGCCTTGCCCAAAAGAAAGCTTTACTGTTATAGCGGCTAGTTTTTCTGACGCGAATTCAATTTTGTCGCTATTGCACCTACCGAAAAACAGCTAGTAACACTTTGTCACTATTTCAGCACCAAGAATCAGGAGCAGCTTCAAACGCTTGTTGTAAAAAATACATCTGCCGCCTGTATGTCCTTAGATGGAAAGAGACTCTTCCTCGCACCCAGACAAGCGGTTCGCTCCCCCCAAATATACACGGTTCGCTCAGAGACCTGGGACATGGTGGCCAGACGTCTTATCCTAGCCGGTTGTACTACTGAAGCGCAGGACTGTGTTCAACGGCAGTATCGTCGTCTTTTGGACCTGTGTGCTGAACGCCCGGCTACAAGCAGCACCGCCAAAATCCTTTTCACCGCTGTACTGATACTTGTCTTTGATTTACAAACGTTGATAACCGTTTTTATAAATTTTTACTTGTTAGGCCTCTCGACCTTTTGTGTCTTCGGATCAGGTCTATAATTCCCCATTTCGGGGAACAGTTGCTTTATAGCGTCAAACCTTAAGATTTTGCAAAAATATCTCACAGTGCCTTGGATACCGTGCTTCGAATTATTGCCAAAAACTCTCCCTCCGATGGTCATAAGTGCCCGAGTTGACTTGGCGAATATTTGAGCGACCAAAAATGTTGGGGTGAATCCGCATGGAAATCAGATAGCCAACCAGTCACTGCGTTCAGCCTCTTTTCCAGCTCTATTAGCTTGTTCTTGACCCATAAAATGTCAAGTAAACTAACTGATATACACTGAAGTACTCCTCTATTCTAGTACCGTCAAACAGAGATGCCGGAGTCGCTCTTAAACGTTTGCTTTTCATCCGGAACAAAGCGACAGCTCGATTGTCACCTCCCACGATACCCACCGTGTGCCCCAGAGCAGGTCGAGTGCTCAGCGGCGAGTTGCGCGTGAATTCGTTTACAGTGACGGTAGACTTTCGCAGCACCTACTGCATTCCTCCTCCTCCCCCACCCGAACTTGATGTCAAGATATAGTCACGAAAACCAGAGGCGAAAGAGGGCGCAGGCGGTTGACACGGCAAAAACCCGCATCTAGGTGTACTACCACACTCCCTGGTCCACAACAGACACTGATCGGGATTTTGCACAACAACAAAGAGGGGGGCAGACGGCACAGATCCTAAATGGCGCGTCATGGGCCTGCACCTGGGTGATCGGGGTCTTAATACTGTGATCGGACATTTTCATGAGGTTTCTTCCGCCACACATGCAATGTTGGCATTTGTTTCGGGTGCACATTCCCAGTAAGGCCTGCCGGACCCTGGCCTAACCCATGTCTTGTCCCGACGCATCTACCGCGTGGTCCGTTTTAGAGAGCGGAATATCACAAGGCGCTACACTAGATACGCACTTAACTGTATCCTTAAGTCAAAGTTTCACGCTTTGGGCGCAATCCGTTTCATCTCATTTGCCTCGCGTTCTGGCCGTATTATTTTCCCTTACTGCGCTCAGCATGTATACCCACCATGACCGTTCGGGAATATTGAATCTAGCCTTATTTGTCTCACAGCATACCCCTTTTGTCAACGTTTAAGTCAGTTCTGTGTGCATGCGTTCGCTATGGGACAGATTTACGCCGGTTTCACAATTTCGTTTTACCGCGCCCTACCCAACATTCCATCTGGCCGTGTCTCAAGTCAACAAGTTTGCCTATTACAGAGATCTAATCGGGTTCCCTACCTCACCGTCATCTTTTTTGTGGTCATTGCTCGGTCAGCAAGCTGCATTTTTTAAAAATTAGCCTTTAGTGTTGTTTCTTTTAGAGATCCAAGCGTGTCTTCACCCTCATGGGCTTTTATTTCTTCGAAATTGGACGGCTGCAAGAGGCCAAACAATTTTTTGAGAAGTCTTCTCTTAATGTCTGTGAGGTAAGCCTCCATGAAAAATACTATTTTTTGCATTGTCTTTTGTCTTTTCTAGTCTATGTTAGCTGTTTGCAATCTTTTCGCATATTCATCTTTTAATTTTCACATATTTAACACAAAGGACTACTGTTTGTGGCTTCTCACCCTACTTGTTTTCTTCCGATTTTTGCTTGGACTCATGCTGTCTGCCCGCAGTCGTAAAGTCCATTACATGTTTTATCTCTGTGGGTCGTAGGTCGTTTTCTTTTCATGAAGCTGGGGTTTTGGGATCCAAACATGCGTCTGACTGACGTACATTCTTCTGTAGATTGGGTGGCACTGGTCGAGACGACCATTTCTGGCTTACTAGCTGTCGTCAGCTAGCCTTTCTCAACCTCTGGCTGGGTGGCACCGGGGATTAGGAACCCGGTTCTTTTGATTGCTGAGCGTGAGTAAGCCACACTCTCCAACTTTTGAGTCACGGACTCGTTGTCCTGCCAGTTTTGATCGAGTATGTTAACTATGGTGGAGGGGCGTACACCGATCAGGTTACGAAACGTGTTCGCCCCGTTGTTCGCATAGCGACAAGTGGTATATGCAGGTGAATTGGCTGACGACGGCTGATAGACCAGAAATGACCATCCTGATTATCCTTGTCTTTGTTGGTGTTATGCGACTGCCTCTGAGGGTTGTAGATTAAACTACAAGGCACAAGGAGACGAGCACATGTAACCGGATCGGTGAGCGCCACTCTACCATAACACATTTTTCTCATTACTGTTCTTGACTATTGTATCTCCCCCAATCTTATTCGACGGAGAATAAACCTTATTGAACCCCAAGTATTCATAGTCAATTAGGTTAACTATGATCGTAGTTATCGTCCAGAGACGCGATGGTGCATAGAAAGACATCAGTTGCATTTGCTCAGCCTGCAAGGACATCACGCAATGGCAGATAATATCCGTAACTGCGAAGTTAAGGAAAAAAAGTAGCCAAGAATATACGTAAAAATTCATCCCTCATTCTGCCGCATCATTTGTTTTCATCTCCTTATTAACCAGTCACCCTTGACGATATCACCTTGCCTTAACTAGCTCCTATATCGGTATGTGGACCTCCTGCCCCGAGGCTATACATTTACTCCCAGCGATGACTTGAATGTGTCTGTGGCCGCTCAGGCACAAGTCGAGAACACAGTCACTGCTTCTCCCAACACAATCTTTGACCTCGCCGAAAGTCTGGCTTCCCGCTCTAAGGACAGTGACTCGTGCGTACGAGAATACCGCATTTTCCTGCTGGACTTTTTGCTTGAACATCGAAGAAGTCGCATTTTTGAAAAACATACCCTGGTAATTTTCATTTGCTACCTACTTTTGGTCCTCCTGTCATGTTTTGTAGCCCCGTTTTTCGTCAGGGGCGCTTATAGACGCCTTGGCTCAAAAACATTTGCGGGATCCGTCATTTTAGAGGCACCGCTGACTAGATTTTGCAAACTTTTTTATATCTTAGCATAAGCTATTGCACCTGGCTGCTTTACGTGTGCGCTTCCTATTCTAATCTTGTGTCAATTACTACCCAAGTCAGCTTAGCTGATTATAGGAAGGTTAGAATGAACGTTTTTACGTTGCCGTCACTCACCTCCCAATCCCAACCTCAGGACGGGATAAATGTGACTCCAATTCGGCCCAGTTGCCAATTGAGCCTAGCACTCTGCCAATTGAATCACGGACTTTTACTCCACCGAATGCGATCGGGAACTCCAAATCATATGAGAGCAGCGTTAGTCAGCCTGTACTTATTTCGGAACGAAACATGGGCTTTCAATTCCGCTCTAGGCGTTCGCTGCAGAATCCACACAAACGCTCGTATAGCCACCAGGGGCCAGTACTGGAGCATCATCACCGGCAAAAGACGGGGATCGGCAAACTCACCGTCATTAACCAGACGCGTTTCTACATAAAGCCTGAGATTTGGACCCAACTCCAATTTGACGCTACATCATTCGGGGAACTCGAGTCAGGTGGCTTAAGGCAACACGGAACCTCCGAAATTTGCCCTGCAGTCGAACCTGATTGCTGAACGGCATTCTTACAAGCGTCCAGCATCTACAATTTCTCGGCTCAGCAAGTGCAAGTGGAATATATTCCTAACCACTAGCGGGGTCGTCAGTTGTTAAATTTGTCCTATACCTCCGGGCATCTAGATCATTCCTTGGGTCTCGTTTCCTAATGGGCCAACTATCCTGTCCATCCACTGTAATACCACTTGTGTGTATCCCTTTTTACCTCTCATCCTTCCCAGCTGGACTAGCCTCCGGCAAAGCTAGACAAACTAGAAGTCTGTTTAGTGGGATAAAGGGCGATTCAAGTCGCATGGGCAGGCAAGACTATCCTTGCATCTGGAGGACGTGGTGTTTGGAAGTTTCTGTCAAATAAGGAACGATTGTTTTTTTTTAATTCTATTCTAGAATTTATGCACTCTTCAGCATAATTTTTCGAGATCGTATTTCTTTCGCGCTTGTTTAGACTGGGCTCGGCGGGCCGGACGCCCCCGAAGGATCCCACGTCACGTAACGTAACAATCAAATAGCGTAAAACTGTCCACCTCGTAAGGCGCACATGTAAATGTCCTTTGAACACTCAATACCTACCTTGTTTTCGGCCGGCTCTTCGCGTTCGTTAGTTTTAATATTCTCCTGACCCTGCCGGCCTAACATGCCACATTTTTGGATAGTGATCAAAACTGGACTTTGAGCCGATTGGAGGTTCTTCTCGGGGAAGCTGTATGCCTAATATTTAGGTAATATCTTTAATTACTTCCTCGCATCCCATTTAAGGACCTCATTTCATGACTGAACAGGACGCAATCATCCGAAAGAGTCCATTTAACCTAATGGTGGCTGGAGTCAACCCAAGCACTTCAAGTGTCGTGATAGGATATTGACGTGCCAATACTGTTCATGCCATCTACCACTCCATCATGTTCAATCCAGTCGGACAAGACGCCTGGCATGTTATCTAATATAGTTCGCATTAGTTACACAAGTTTGTTATCTGCACTGTGTCGTAGTGCCGCCAAGAAGCCTCGTTTAGACGGCTAACTTTGACGTTTCTTTTCTCGCCTGTGTCTGTTGTGTTCGATTGGATTCGTCTTTGGAGATTTAAACTTCTGTTCTGGTGTCAGAGCCCTGTGTTGTGTGCCTGCGTGCGTGCACGTCTGCGTTCTTCTCTTCATTGCCCTCTTTTGTGGTGTATTTGTCCCTAATTCTGACCATCGTTTCCTGTGCGTGGACACGTGGTTAGTAGTCGTGCGTCGAGGAATTTTGACCGGCTTCCTCCACTTCACTCGTTGTCTGCCGAATTCCCACCGATTCGCTCGACTGTCCCTTGTCCACTTTCACTGTTATTTGTTCCTCCTCCCCCTGTCCCCCCTGATCTTCCTCTTCATCATCCTCAGGCATTAGTTGTGGGGGTAGGTTGCCAAATGTCCTGTTGAATTCTGCTCCTTCGAGTAACGCCGCACCACTATCAAGGTCCCTGTAGTCTACCACTAGTATGGGCTTTTCCGCCTGATGATCTATCTTCCATCTGACCGGCGCGACGTATTCAAACAGCGGCTCACACCTGAGGTTCTTTCGCCTTATGTATGGTAGTATAATGTCGACGCCCTGCATACAGATGCACCGATGACCCCATACAGGCGCAGGTAGAGCCACTCCCGGTCGCCAACCAAGGTCGGTCTCCTCGTTCTGGGTATTCATCCAGGCTGGAGTACCCATACTCGCATTATTACTACTGTTGGGACCGGGATCTGTAGAGGTCCCTGGCAGTTCGCCGGCCGACAGCTCGTCATCGTCTGAATCGTCGACCCAGACAGATCGGACACTCGGTGTAGGTGGCATGGCGTCCTGACTGATGGCGTTTGTTGGCCGCACATTACCCACCCATGGTGTCCAGAGTTCTGTGTCGGCAGTACAAAAGGCCTCACCGCCACCGCCAATGCACACAATGCTCCCCTCCATCATGCAGGCCGCAAAGTCTGCCCTCTCTGAGATGGCTGGCATCAGTTCCCAGATGCCATCCTCGGGCGTATACCGCTCCACCGTGCTGCTGTAACCCAGAGCCATCACAGAACTCCCCAGCCGAGAAGCGTTCTCACCGCCTCCTCCCAATACAAAAAGATGGTTTTTATAAGCTATGGCGTTTGCGTAGTAGCGTGGTTGGGCCATGGGTTGAATGAGAGTCCACTGATTTGTCTCAGGGTTGTAGGCCTCACAGCTGTTTGTCAAAGCCTCCATGCGACTCTCGGTATATCCTCCGCAAACGTAAATCTGTCCGCCCAGCACGTCTCCTGCCGGTGCCCCGCGTGGGACTAACATACTCGCCACTTCTGTCCAACTATTGGTCTTCTTATCCAGAGCTAGTCTTTCCACCGTCTGAAGTACAGTCCTGTTGTTATCTCCACCGATGCTGTAAAGAGCCTTTTCTTGAAAATTCACCAAAATTAGGTCGCGACGGATCTCATGCATCGGTGGGCAGCCCTTCCAACCGTGGTGTCCCGAACCTGACCTCTGAAAATCATAGCGGATAACTTCTTGTGTGGCCTGACCACTCTTCTTCTCTCCGCCGGCGATGTAAATGATTCGGTTGTTCACACTAGTAATTCCAAAGCTCATCAGAGGGTGGGGAAGCACAATACCTGAGGCTTCTTCGCCGGAGTCAACACATGATGGCTTGCTTGCTGTCTCGTGAACCACCCAAGTACCCATACGCGCATCCAGCACACGCACTTTGCTACATAGCTTTCCGTTCTCCCATCCGCCGAAGACAAATATCGCCTCATGCGGTAGTCTCTGTTCGTTGTTTTGCTTGGCTAGTTTAGTCATTTCGTCAGTTGCTTTTGAGTTTATAAGACCAGGAGCATCCTTCCCTCCGCCAGTGATCTCGGCTACGTTGTCGCCGTCGCTCGGCTGTCCCAGTCCTTTATTCTCTGCCAGCGGACGAAGGTTACGAAGGGTACGAAAGAGTTTTCGCCGCGCTTGATGAAGCATCTCCAAGCAGGCACTGTGCATGTCTGCACTGTCTTCCTTGGATTTGGCTAACCCATCCACAGAATTTTCTGGGGTCGAAGTACGGTCCACATGTTGTTGGCGTCGGGACGGACGCATTCCCGGCAACTTCAACAACAAGTCTACGTCGACCATAGCCAACTGCTTTGAGCGAATACACTTGAACACCAATCTCGGCACGCATTGTTGCAGGAAGACCTCTAGTTGGGGGTACTTAGACTTGCCTTCAATCCACAATTGAAGAGTCCACAAAACATCGGACTCGTTGCGTACGTTTAGCCTATCCGAATCCAGCAGTAATTCCAACTCGTAGGCTGAGAGATTCATAAGGCCCTCTAGGGGTGCCCCATTCCTATCTGACCCTTTTTCAGATCGCAGAATATGGACGAAGTTCGTTCGCACGAAATTGACCAACAGTTGTGCGGCCTTCTCGTCAATTGGAATGGCCTTCTGAAACAGGGCTTGCGGGTCGTTCCTCTCCTGAAGGCGTGACCTAGGAAAGACCTCTCTCCACAGCTCCCAACATGATTCCAACGACAACGACTTACTAATGTACTCGACGCACATCTTATGCAAGTCATCGATGCCGTAGGTTTTAGCTATCCTCAATCCGCTTGAGAGTGTGCACTCTGCCATGGGGGCGGTCAGGTGGATTTGTGAAGTACTCAGAAGAAGTTGACCTGACTCGTTAGCGCTTGGCCATTGATTACTCTCTCGACGTTTTCTCGGCGGCACCTCATCTGGCCTGTCAATGTCGGCTATTGCGCTGATCTTGCAGTGTCCGATGTGACAGAAGTGAATTGCTAGTGCGAGATCGTGAACATCGGAGGCCTTGGTACATTGAACAAGTAAGGGATCAAGGGGTTCCACAGTACGAACATGGTCCAGGGTACACTTCCGATTTTTTGCGCATATTTTTGTCTTTTGATTTCTCCTCTCCTTGTCTACCTCCCTGAGAAATGTTTTGAACGTGCGGCTTTGAGTGGCCAGTTTGTAGACATTAACGTGTACAAATTTCCGTCCATTGACCAGAGCCAGTGGCTGGTTCAAGGCCCACTGCATTCTGTATCCCATTAGAAGGTTGTCAGGAAGTTCCATTCCAGGGTTTCGATTCTCGTTGCCGTAGTACGGTGCTTGGTTTACGTCACCAGCTAAATGCTTTGTCTGCCACCTCGGCCGAACTATTTCCCTTCGTTCTGTTTCCATGCCTTTTCGGATCTAGTTTGTGGGCAGTCCTTCGGACTTATCAGCTGGGTTAGGGGGTTATCACACCTGATCTGCAAAGCGCCAAATGTCCATTTCAAATTATCGATCTGGTCGGCCGGTTTCGTTGGTTGGGACATTGCAACATAGGGGTCCATCATTACGCTAGGCGGGAGCCCTCATCTCTCCCCTTATTTGCCTCTCCTCAAGAAACTGTCGTTCGCTGTTCGAATGAATAATTTTCAAGATCTGGCTATTCGCCATTTTGGTCAGATTCAAGAATACGGTATTTAATGATTGCTTAATCTCCCCGGACTTCATCTGCTTCTTCGTGAGCGTTGTCTTGTGGATTAGAAGGACATTGCGCTATCCATTCCCCCTTTCCACTGGCTGTTTTTAAGTGTGCAATTCCAACATTAAATTAGGCCAATATTGTTACGAGAATTCCCGAAAGTGTGTCGACGAGAATACAGTTGTATTAGAGTCATTTTTAAAGGTTTGCTCCACTTCACCTGCTAAACCTACGGTCCTTCCCACGAACATAGTTCTCAATGTCTATTTCGTCCTGCTCTTTCTTTGGTAGGTGAATGAGAAGGGCATTAGAATAACTACCCTCCTCCAGGTGCCGAGCGCAAGGCAGCCTATGATACCGGTAGGGCACTTAATTCTGTATGCAACGGATAAACAGTACCGCATGGTCGTGCCGTCGGACTGTGCGGCACTCGCGGGTGTTGTAAGTTCTGGAGAATAGCGACTTGAATTGCGTCACCTGCGTAGATCGAAAGCAATTCCGTCGCGCATTTCGCAACTACTTCGGGTAGTACAGTTTCTATGCAAATCGATTCTAACTACGTTTCTATTCGGTTCCATCTCGGTCTTTCCCGTATTTCGTTTGTTCCTGCAGTTCGGGGTACAAGTACATTATCAAGTCAAGTTTCTCAATTCCCAACGATCAAGCTTGTACAGGTAAGTTATCGATTGAAGCGAAGAGAGGAGTCCCAGGAAGCAGTCGTGAAGACGTAGACTCAATCGCTGGGATAGGCGCTTTATTTGCCCGACGCTTCGGATTCCTGCTCGGACCCATCATCAGAGGCAATTGCAGATACGGGTGGTTCATGCACAAAGGGCTGCAGTATTTATAGGATGCAGTCACCATGCCACCACATACCTTTGAGAATTCACGGTCCCCCCCCCCCTTCGTCAGGGATCGTTGCACTTGGTGTGACGACTGTTCGATGGCCGACATTCGCATCGTTACTCGCTGCAATTTCATCACGAGTGTTGGATGTTGGTGTGATTGCCCGACCATCTGACCCACTCACCCTGGCGTTGGGAACAGTGTTCGCCCTTGTACTCCCCGCGTGGCTAATTACTCCGCCTAGGCGAAGTCTCAACACCGAGTATGGAAAGGGAAGGTCATTACACTTGTTAAGAGACCCGGGACAGTGAACCATGACTCAAGCAGTCCCCGGCTCACGCGGTTGTCACCTCTAGCGAGAATTTCGGCCTCGTGGAATCTGAATCTGCTGCTAGATCTCGTCGAATGAGCCTCAACTTAAGAGCTGGAGTCGTTTCTCCAGAATGCTCCCGCGTGTTCGGCCATTCGCTTTCTGAGTATCCTTCCGGTTCCTCTTACGTATTTGCTTTGTCCCTACCTGAACCAGGTCCGATAAACGACTCCAGGCGTTTCTTGCCGTGACGGTGGGTCTTTCGGTTTCATTATCTGACGCCTGATGGTTGCCTCCGGTCTGTGTGCAATTCCAACTCCAAGTGGTGTCAGTGGTGGCAAAAAACATTCTGTCTATATTTCCATTGCAGTAACAAGACCCATCCATGAACACTTTTTTATTTTTAAAACAAACCGCAAGTGCTAGTTAGTAAGTCGCAGTTTAGGTCTGAGAACTTGGTTCCCCTTTGCGTATACCGGAAGTTATCCTATACTACTGCAGTTACTCTGAAATATGACGGCGTTATCAAAAGTTAAGCGGTTTCCTACCGGCTTTGACTACAACGTACTAGGATGATGAAGAGCCCAGTCGTCCTGAAACCATTTGAACGAAGTCGTTTTTACTTCGGTCCTCTTCATGGACAGCATGATTAAGCAAAACCAACTTTTAAACGAATCTTCAACCGTCTACTTGCCGACTGCATCCTGTCTTTTGCTTCGAGAGGGTGGTCTTAAAGTTTATTCAGATTCACCTTGAAAAATCTGATTTTAAACAATGCGTCAAGCATTTTTGATTGCCTGCAAGTTATAACAACTAGAGCCGTTTTTATTGAAACGAACCACGGAAGTACGAAAGTCATGGCCAAAAGCGTTGTCAGTCAGGATGGAAGCAATGACGTGTAGAGCTCGGACCAGGTGCCCTGCTGACCGAACTATGGAAGGAGGATCAGTACTGATCATTCGGACAGCCAGAAGACGCATCGATAGGGCACGGGCATATGGACTCCACGTATCACAAGTGACCTTGCGCTTAACTCCAGGGGTAGTTAGGGTCAAGGCCATAAGGGTTAGCATCAAGGGTGGGGTCAAAGTTAGGATACGGGGATTGGTACCCCCTCGGGAATTTGGTGTAAGGTCGCATGTAGTACGGGTGAGGGTTCCGTATTCTTGCATCCGACCGACTTACCCTCCATGGTCCAAAACAGGGAAGTTGACAATTTGATCTTGTCTGACGATGTTTTTCGGCAACCACTTTTTTCCTATTCCGCAGTTACTCAAGCTCTTAAGATCTGTTTCCATTAGTGAAAAAGTCAAGTTAATCCGCGGCGAATGGGCGCGGGGGCTGACAGTCTAATGACGTCTGCGCGCGCCACATGCACGACCTGGCCTCCCAAAGGGGGTAGTAAATAATTTCGCGTCGAGCTTCCTTAATAGCCTTAAAAAAAACAGTTAGTTCCTGTAATCATTCTCCTTAGACTTAAATTTAATATTTTCTGGCATCCGACAGCAATTTTACCGCGTGCCTTGTTGAAGTTGAGCTATAATTCACTTACTACGATGGCCTACTATTGTAAAAAAGAACTAGACTTTAAATGGTTCCAAGGTCTCAACTCCCATTTTCTGACTTTCACCTGCACCGTCATATTTTTTACGGTCTCCGTCTATTTCTAAGCGACCACTTCTGCTCCCATCCAGTTTGTAGAAACAGCGCTTTTCAAGCTATGCGTCCTTCTCCAGGACTACGTGTCCACTAATCTTCTCACCCCCGAATCTTCTTTGTCCGCCACCTATGGCAGTTGGGAGGCTCTGATTTCTTCGTTTCGCAATGTAGATGTGAAGGATCTCCTTACCTTCCTGACAGAGAACGGAGCACATCATGCCCATGCCCTGCTTTGCAGTTGGCAAGGCGATCTTTCAACGGCCCTGGACCTTTGGAGGCGGTAAGTCGGAGCAGCATTCCTTCTGGTTCCGCCAATAGGAGGGGAGGGGAGGGGTGTGGGAACAAACAGTCGCGACGAGGAGTCGCTGATCTAGTCGGCTGAATTTCGACGTTCGCGCTGACTGGCCTGTTTAAGTGGGCCAACTGCTGCTATCATTATTTGTGGGAAGCCCAAGGGGGGGGAGAGGGACTAGAGTCATTGCCTTCTCCAAGTTCGTCGGAGGCTTTGGAGCTTTGCCAAGTGTGTTTACCGCACATCATGATGTGAAATTACTGTGTGAGACATTTCTGACGAGGAATAGGGATTTGCTGCTGTTCCATCCGTTTGATTCCATGTAAGAGTATACTGATCACTTACCTCTATAGTCGGTCTTTATACTAAAAGTAGTCTCTCTATGCGCATTTGCCTGATAAAGTTATGTCATAGTGATAGACTCACGCTTCTCATATCCTTGCTTATGGTTTGTTTACGTTACTGAGTGTTGTCCCTGTGGCAGTTCGCCTGCCGCAAACGACGAGAACCGCCACTGTCCCCGGGCCTCCAGTCATGATTCGCCCTATTCCCGCACCATCTCCCCCATAGCCCAGGGTTAGCATTGACAAACCACGCCGCATACAGACAACGGTAAGACCTGGTTATGTAGCCTCACCTGATGGAAAAAATGCTGTCGGGTATGGGTTTGGGTTATGGTTAGGGGTTTGGGCAACTATTTCTCAGCCACTCAAAGTACAACCGTGTATTCCTTATAGCTTTTATTTTGCGTACAACTACTTTACCTTGTCGCCTGTGCGTTCCTCGGCTCCACCTCCCCGGTCCCGTATTAGAGCTGGCTGGTGTTTGTTTACTTCAGGTGGGGCTATATAACCACATCTGATCCAGACAACACCTATATTATGCGGGTTCTCCAGAAATTCTCAAAAGGCGAAACTGCGGCCAACGGTAGCCGGATTTAAACTGAGGTCTTTTACCGGCGTTTATGGATGAATAGTTGACACGTGAAAACCTACTAATAGGCTAAGTATTTCAAGTGTCCCTAAAATGTTCACTGGGAACGACTGTGACCCTATTGTATCTCATATTTCCCTTATTTACTTTTCGCCCCAGCGTGCTTTGCTGTGCTTTAGTTTGTTCTATCTTTGGCTGCTGCTTATTCACTTTATTACTTGTTATTTGATCCAATGGCCTCTCTCCCCTCATGATTTCGCCCTGCACAATTTCTTCTTTAAGACTTGCCTTTGGGGAGTTGGACGATCAGTCTTTTCCGGGACCAAACTTCTACTTGAATACTCTCGTCACGTAAGTCTCAAATTTCTGTAATATTTTGATATTCTAGCTGCTTTGTGGCACCCGGTGTGCTTCTTCTATCCACTTTATCAACAGACTTTTTTCTGATTATTCATTGCGTATTTGCCATTTCTTTTTAAGCGACAACAAATGTAGATCTTTTGCCCTAGACTTTAAGCCACTTTATTATTAAATGCCTTCCCCCAATGCAATGGTCCGCTTGA